GCTTGGGAGCTAGGGTGCCGCTCTTTGGAAATAGAAACAGATTCTATTGTAGCTTGCAATATGATTCTGAACCACTCTCAGCCTAATACCATCATCCAACCATTGTTGAGGAAGATCACACAGCTGATGGATCAGGATTGGAATGTTTCGATTAATCATATCTATAGAGAGGTCAATTACTGTGTAGACTGGTTAGCTATCAGAGCCTGTCGACACCCTCTTGGGGTTCATATTTGTGAAAATCCTCCTAGAGGGTTATATCCATTGCTGATGACAGATTTATCTGGGGCCACCATGCCCCGTTTAGCTATTGTGTAGTTTTCTTTCTAGGCAATTGCCCCTTCGTCTTCCAAAAAAAATAAGTTTCTTTAAAAAAAAAAAGAATAAAAAATTTGTCATATCAGTTTTTTAAAAAGATGGATTTTTTAAATAAGTTTGGTTATAAAGATAAGATTTTTTGTTTAAATAAAAAAATTTAAAACGAATTTTAAACTCAAAATAAATTAAAGGTTTAATTTTTTTTCCCTTTTTAATAAAGGATCCCGTTTACCTTTTTTTTTAAAAAAAAAACAAAGTTTATGTATAAAGTTTTGTTGTTTAAAAAGATATTTAAGTACACATCCTCCTTTGTTGTGGCATAGTGGTAAGAGCTTTGGGTATTGGCACTCGTAATTCAAGTTCAAGCCTTCATGATTGGTGACTCATCACACTTCGTAGATGATTGGTTGCGAATATCTTTGAAGCTTTCCATTTTTCCATACGATGTTTTTGGATTTCATTTTTCGTGTTTATACCATTATTATTATACATATATCACATATATATCAGGAGTATATCTGTCAATCATTAGTATATCAGAAGTAATTTATTGTTGGTTCGGGCCTGTAGGGTATACTTGTAATTTAGAATGTGGGTCTCCGTTTTTTTGCAAAAAAAATAAAAATACTATATTTGAAAAACTCGAAACCTTGTTGCTATTTTGCTTATTTTCTCAACTCTTTTTTGTCATATCTCAAGTTGCCCCTATATTTTATTATTCAAATATTTAATAATAATAAATTATATTTTAAAAATCTATTGATATTAATTACTAATAATAAAATATAATATAATATAAATTTATAATATGTTACAATAAAATCACATCAACTAATAAAAATGGTATAACTTTTAATAGACAAAAGTTTATTAGTAGCATGAATGAAAATGAAATAATAAAAGTATAAAACAATTAAGGTTAAAAAACAAATTTAGTCTATGTACTTCGTTAAAGTAACAATTTAGTCCGTGAACTTTAATTTGTAATGATTTAGTCCATATACTTTCAAATTTGTAACAATTTAGTCTTGAAGTTTAATATGTAACAAATTAGTCATTGTAATTTAAAGTTAGTAACGATTTAGTCCTTATCGTGAAATTATTTTTTTTCAGTTTCTTTTATGTGTAGATTGATAAATTAAAGAGAGACCCAATATGTTTATGAATTAAAAAGATTAAATTGTCATATGATAAAATTTGACACTTAATTTTAATAAAAAAAATTACGATAGAGATTAAATTGTTACAAATTTTAAACTACAGAGACTAAATCGTTACAAAGTTAAAATTCAGGGCCTAAATTATTACTTCATGAAAAGAACAGAGACTAAATCATTACAAACTGAAGTTATAGAACAGAGACTAAATCATTACAAACTGAAGTTATAGACTAAATTGTTGCTTTAGTGAAAATACAGAGACCAAATTTGTTTTTTAACTAACAATTAATTAAAAAACTATGGGTCTCATTTATACGAGAGAAAAAAGGATAAAAATTATAAAGTAATTATATTAAATATATGCGAATGTAAATTCAAATGATGTCGTTGTACGAGAATGAAATTATACTTTATTTTTTTTTTCAGAAAATGAGATTAACAAGGCGGTCCCACCATTTGATTCCAACACCTAGGCATTAAAATGAATGAAAAAATTGATTCTCATTTTTTAATTTCTATTCAGAAGTAAACGTGGCTTTAGTTAAATGTATAAAATCATGCTCATTAATATTAAGCGCTGTTCATGATTTATATACAAGAATTCTAATTTGTTTAACTATGGGAACTGGTTAGCTATACATTTCAAATTTAGTTCCGTTATCTTATTTGATGATAATCAAAAATTAATTATAAAAACTAATAGGATCAATCAACCTTCAACAAAATGTGATTAGTTCAACATGATATGTAATTTAGGATGAACAATAAGAAAACTAAAATTAGAAAGGAAAGAGAAAAAATAGTGCTGTCATTCCATCTCAATTTTTAGCAAATAAATCGGCTCCTTATCAGCGAGGACTAATCATGTCCTCATCATTATTAAATATTAGGCTAAAAAATATATTTGATCCATGTACTTTCTAAAGTAATAATTTAGTCTTTGAATTTCATTTTGTAACGATTTAGTCCCTATACTTTTAAATTGGTAACAATTTAGTTCTTGAACTTTAATACGTAACAAGTTAGTCCCTGTAGTTTAAAATTTGTAACAATCTAACTCCTATCGTAAAATTTTTAATTAAAATTAAGTGTCAAATTTTATCATATAACAATTTAATTTTTCAAATTCGTAAACATATTTGGTCTCTCTTTAGTTTATCAATCCATACATACAAGAAACTTAACAACAACAAAAAAATCACGACAAGGACTAAATCGTTACCAACTTTAAATTACAATAACTAAATTGTTACACATTAAAGTTCAAGGACTAAATTGTCACTTTAGCGAAAGTACTGGGGTAGAAGTGTTTTTTAACCTAAATATTATTTGACAATATAGATAAATTAAAAAATATAGATTTTTTTTAATAATTTGTGAAATATTAAAAATTAATAAGTTTTCAATTTTTGAATGGTGGTGAGGATAATATACGATTTTTTATAGCCTCCCGTTACGGAGAAAATATATGTAATTATAATATCACTATTTAACCTAATTAAACTATGAATATTTTTATTTATTTGAATTAAATTTTATCACATTCCTTAAATATTTATTTATTCAAATCTTCTAAAAACAAAAAGATACTAAACAACCCAAAATAATAATAATAAAAAAATCAGTAATTTAAGAATTTAATCAATACTATAATTGCAAACCATAATTAACCAATATAATTAATTAAGGTACACTTATTAACCTATCTACAAATAACGATCCAAATTGAAAAAATAATACTATTAGAGGATTACTTCATTTGCCTCTAATAGAACTCCAAAACATGAACTTCGATTAAAAAAAAAAATCAAACCGGGCAAATGGGGGTTGAAGAGATGGTGTTGTTTCCTCCATGGACGGCGACAGAAACGCAGCTCCGGCAAAGCGGGCAGTGGCGCTCCGCCTTCAGCCACCGGTCAACGCAGTTCCGGTGAAACATGTGGCAGCATTTACTCATGATCCAGCACTTTTCTCCCTTCTTAAATTC